ACGCCACTGCCCTCTTCGGATCTGGACACTTCGATGTTCCCACGGTGTGCCTATTTACCCTGCCTACCTCGCGTCCGGCGTGCTCTCCCCATCTCTATCAGGGACGCGCCACCCATCCTTCCGCAGAGGCCCCTTTTACCCTTCTCCCTACCCCCTTCAGCCCATCCCCCCTCGCCCCTTTCACCCCTTCGCCCCTCCCCCTACCCTCCACCCTCCTGTAGCCCTATCCCTATAACCCATCTACACGCCGCTTCGGCCCTCTTCTCCCTTCACTGAGCGCGCCCCGGGGCCTCAGCCCATCGGACGACGGAAAGGCTTGGCGCGGAATGCGTGGGGTGGAATGGGCTGGATTTGTCTCGTGACAGAGCGAGTTTGAAGTGCGAGGGGGCTTGGGTATCTCGGAGAATGGAAAAGAAGGCAGACAGGAGAGCAAGCACGGGTTATAGAGGTATAGGAGACTGGGGAGCAGAAGGAGTGTAGTGTAAGTGTGGAGGGAGAGAGAGAAAAGGGGGGAGCGAGGAGGATGGAGCGAGAGAGAGAGGCAGAGAAAGGAGGAGAGAAGAAGAGAGGCGGAATGGGAGGCGTACAAAGAGGTGGAAGGGGGAGGGAGATGAGAGAGAGGGGGTCGGGAGTAGGGCGGGATGACAGGAGAGATGCGAAGGTACGGGAGAGATGGAGAGGGGTGGGGTAGGGGAAAGATGCATAGGGATGGAGGAGGAAGAAAGGAATAAGAGGGAAGGGGAAAGGAGGAGAGGAGGAAAGGAGAGGGAATGGCATGGGATGACGGAGATTAAAGGAGGAGGGGAGAAATAGATGAGAGCTACGATGGGATGACAGCTGGGTGAAGGGTCGGGAGGAGAGTATGGCCGAGGGTGAGGGGAGAGGGGGGAGCGGGGGAGAGAGGGGGAAGGAAGCAGGTGGGGGTGTCGAGAGAGGAGGAAGAGTCTGGAAGGGGAGGTGAGAGGAGAGAGAAAGAGAGGCTGGAGAGGGAGATGTGAAAGAGAGAGAGAGGATTTGTCGAGCGGCGGAGTACGCGTGAGAGAAGGAGAAAGATCGAGATAAAGAGGAGAGGTGGGAGGGAAAGGGTGAGCGACGAGGGTGAAAGAGAGATAGGAGGAGATGGGAAGAGCTGGGAGAGCTGAGAAAGAGAGAAAGAGACGAGAGAGCAGAGAAGAGAGCAGATGAGAGGGAATGAGGCAAGAGAGAGAGGAGATTGGCGAAGGAAAAGAAAGAGAGAGCGGGACGAAGAAGAGAAGAGAGAGAGAGAAGGAGAGATAGAGAGAGAGGAGCGAGAAGAGAGAGAGAGAGAGAGACAGACAGAACAGACAGACAGACAGAGAAGAGAGAGGGAGAGACAGAGAGCGAGAGAAAGAAAGAAAGAAAGAAAAATAGAGAGAGAGAGAATAGGAGAGACAGAGAGAGACCAACAGACAGACAGACATAGGAATATAAAAGTGATGTATAAATGGATTCCACGTTCACATTTCGGTCGCTGCAACTCACACAAGCACAATAGCTGGCAGACAAGAATTTTTTTTCGGCAAACTCGAAACATACCGGACTAGTGTTGTTTTTTTGCTTGATCTGTATTTGCAAAAATTTAAGTTTTTTTATTGCATTCCGTTTGAAAACAATGAAAAGTCTTTTGTCTTACGAAATATATGGATATCTGCCGTCAGACGTGAAGACTTGGAGTATGAAGAAAACTGACAACGGACGAAAAAAAAAAAAAAAAAAAAAAAAAAAAAAAAAAAAAAAAAATATATATATATATATATATATATATATATATATATATATATATATATATATATATATATATATATATATATATATATATACACAACATACCTACATCATAGGACACTTTATTTAAAACGCACTTTAAAAAAGACGCACGTTTTATTGGCATATAAATACACAGAAGCCTCATAAACTGTATAAGCAAATCAAACACGTTTTTGGACCCTTGGACAACACCACAATCAATCGGTGTTTATATATACAGGCACATATATATATATATATATATATATATATATATATATATATATAATATATATATATATATATTATATATATATATATATATATATTATATATATATATATATATATATATATATAATATATATATATATTTCTCCTCAAAATATGATTTGAAAAAAAAGTTATTCACCTTTTAATTTTCAAAAGAAAGATTAAAAGGGGGTTTATATTTTCTTTCAGGTTTATATTTGTATTTATTTACTTTTTTGATTATTCTCAAAAAAAATGTTACTCGGTTTTTTACACTAATGCTAAAGGAAGTATTTTTATAAAGTGAAAATGGACACGGGTTTAAGGCATATAACAATGGATTCCTAATAAGGAGAGCGGGAAGGAGGGATGAAGGATAAATACAAAACAAGATAAACAACACAGAGAAAAAAAGTAAAAATAAAGTAGATAGGAAGAAAAATAACAAAAAAGCCACGAAAACAGAAGAAAAATACGAAAACAGAAAAAATAAACACGAAATAAACACAAAATAATATAATCAAAGACAAAACAAAACACAATAACAGAAAAAAACAGACAAACAAGGAAATAACAACAAGAAATAGGAGAAAGTGAAAACAATCTCGCTAACTTAGTGTTTGTTTACATCGGCATTCCAGCGTTCGCGTAAGTGACACGAATGCGCATGCGTCTACCAGGCGAAAGGACTAGTGAATCACTCATATCCCAGTCATCATTAACAGACAACGTACATATTTTTTCTTAAGACATTAGTGTTTCATTATTTATTTATTTATTTATTCATTTATCTTTTTACATGATTGGAATTCCCTTCATGAGAAAGAAAGGTGAATTTTGGCGGGAAATTTTGACAGTGTTGCCATTATTTGGTTTTTGATTTTTCTTTTTAGTTTTGTTTTTGTTTTTTAATATCATTGGCATTCCCTTTCGAGAATTACAGAGAATATGAGAATGAATTATTATTTCTTCTTAACATTGCTGGATATACTTTCAAAAGAAAATGTGAAAGAATTCATAAATTGATAAATTGAAGTTAGTTGCACATTTTTTTCTTTCTTTTAATGACAGGAATTCCAAATTGGAAAAAAATGAGGTTGGATATATGCATCCCAACGTCATAAAAAAGGGAAAAAAAGGAATGTTAAATTATTATTCACCTAAAGAATACAAAGTCAAAAGTGACGTGTTCAAGAATACGTACAAAAGAAATACACATTTTGAACCATCACATTCCCTACTCTTAAAAACTTTTTTGCAAGTATATACATCACAATATTTACACCACTTCTAAATCAAACCAAACCACTTCGATTGGGAGATCCGACAATATCAATTTACTTACAATTACTTATATTACTTACAAGGTAAAGATATAATATTAGGAATGCAGGTCAAAAATTGAGAATACATATTTAGGAGTATGTTCTATGACATTTCAGTGCCTCTTTTGAAAGAAAGAAATATATCAATTATGAAAAAAATTAGGAAGTTGATTTGTTGAATTGATTATCAAAATCTGAAAAAGTTGATATGAACAAATAATAATAATAATGGTAATGGTAACTATGATAATTGTAATAGCAGTAGTAATAATGATAATGATAATAATAATAATAATAATAATAATAATAATAATAATAATTACAATTAAAATAATAATGATAATGATAATAACAATAATGATACTAAAAGCAATATTCATAACAACAGTGATAATGAACATAACTGATAAAAAAACACAATAATAGCGATAACAACAAAAATAAACAACAAACAAGAATAAAAGAGGTTTTTCAGAAATGCTTCCTATACCTATCTAAATCTGTGCATCTCCTCTTCGTATGAAAGCCAAAGAAAGGAGATGAGAAAATGGCGGTTAACGTGGGAAGAAATGGGGAGGGGGGGAAGGGGGGAGAAACACAGAACGAGGGAAGAAGGAATAATGGAGGAAGAGAGAGAGAGAGAAAGAAGGTAGAGAGGGAGAGAGAGAGGAGAGGTGGGGGAGAGAGAGAGAGAGAGAGGTGGGGAAAAGATGTAGATAGAGGGAGGAGAGAGAAGAGACAGAGAGAGAGAGGGGGGGAGGAGAGAGAGAGAGAGAAGAGAGGAGGTAGATTAGATGGAGGGAGAGAGAGAAATAAGTAGATAAAGGGAGAGAGAGGGAGAGAGGAGATAAAGATCAAGTAAGGTCAATTCGGATTGAACTTTGACCTCTGTTTACTTATACTTATTTTTTTCATGCTTTCAATTTTGATAAACTTTTTGGTGTATTTTGTATTAATTTTCTTAGTCTTGTAGAATTTAATTGAGATCCAGTTTTTACGAATCAAATTTCCTTCTATATTAGTTATTTAGTTTTTATTGATTTCTTTGTTTTTTTCTTCTTCTTTTCTTGCTTTCTTCTTTTACTTTCTTTTTTTTCTTATTATTATTTTCTTCTATTCCTTAAACTAATACTTTACGAAAAACTATTACCATACAGAGAGATTTTTTCAATAATTTTCAATCTCCCTTTTATCATTATTTTCCCTCTTCCCTTTCTTCATCACCAGTTTTTTTTCCTTCTTCTCCTTTACTTCCTTTCTTTTTACTACTTTTTTTTTTTTTACTTCTTATCGTTATTCTTCTTCCCCTTCCCCTCATCATTTTTTCTTCTATTCTCCTCCACTTTTTTTCTTTTTTTTTTCTCTTTCTCTTTTTCTTTCTTCTTTTTCTTTGTTTTTCTCCTTCACTCTCTTCTCCTTGTTTTTTCTTCCTTTCTCTCCCATCTCTTTTCTTCTTTATTTCTCTCCTTATCTTCTTTTTCTTTATTTCTCTCCTTTCTTCTCTCTATTCTCTCCGTCTTCTTCTTCTCTTCTTCTCTTTTCTTCTCTATTCCTCTCCTTCTTCTTCTTCTCTCCCATCTCTTTTCTTCTCTATTTCTCTTCTTCTTCCCTTCTCTTCTTTATTTCTCTTCTCCTTCTCTTTTCTTCTTTATTTCTGTCATTCTTCTTCTTCTCTTTTCTTCTCTATTTCTTTATTTCCCCTAACTCGATGACTCATACTTGATAGCTGAGTCATCGAGAGGCTCGAGCACAGGAATCCTGAAAAAAAAAAAAAAAAAGTTTAGATTTTATTTATTATGTTTTTTTATTGGTTATTATTTTTATGGTCTTTTTTGATTAATTGACGATGAGGATGATAATGACAGTAATAGTTATAATGATAATGATAATGATGATAATAATGATAATGATAATAATAATAATAATAATAATAATAATGATAATATATAATAATATAATGATATAATGATAATAATAATATTTAATAATTAATAATGATAATAATAATAATTAATAATAATAATAATAATAATAATAATAATAATGATAATAATAAAATATATTAATAGATAATATAATGATTAATATAGTCATAGTAATGCTTGATGTAATATAATAATAATGATTGTATGATAATAAATAATAATAATAATATATAATAATAATAATTTATAATAATTAATAATAATGAGAGAGTAGTGAATAATGATAATAATTACAATAATATAGATGATAATTAATAATGTGAATGATTATGATGATTGGCTAAGATAATAACATAACAATGATTCATAACAACAATAATGCATAATGATAAAAATAGTTATCATAATGAATGTAATAATAAAGATAATAACCAAATAATGATAATGATAATAATGATGAGAGTAATAAATAATAATAAATAGATATTGATAATAATAATAATAAATAATAATAATAATAATAAATAATAATTAATTAGATAATAAATAATAATAATGAGATAATAAATAACAATAATAAATAATACATAAAGTAATTGATAAAAAAAAATAACAATTAATAGAGGTGATTAATGAATAATAGAGTATAATAACAATAAATAATAATAACAACGATAACGACAGTGATAATGATGCTCATCACCACCACCACCACCTTGCAGAACTCACTCCTTCAACACCTGGTGCGACAGGTGTTGTGAGTTGGCCAGCACGTGTTGGGGGGTGGAGGAGGGGGAGGGGGGGTACGATGCCAGCAGCTGCCCGGACGATGCCACGTGCGCCAGCGAGTGGGCGGACGGCGGGAGAGAAGGTGGGCGGCCTGGTTGTGGATCGTCACGCGCCGCGATGGACGCCCCTCCGCCTACCCCCGCCCACTCCCCGCCCCCGTGACGTGGTCGGCGGCCGTGGGTGGTCGGCTACGCTCGTAGTGAGTGATCACGGGTGGATAGCTGTGGGCGGAACTGTGCACGGGGTGGAGAGGTGGAGTGGGTGCCCACTCTTGTGGATAGCTATAATGTAATGTCTATCGATATCATATTTCTAAAATCTTAAACTATAGCTTTTACTTTCGATATTCCTCTCTCTCTCTGCTCCTCTCGCTCTCTCTCTCTCCTTCTCTTCTCTCCTTCTAACAATAACAATATATAGTATTTATAAGTGATAATTATATATATATATATTATATATATATACTATAGATATATAGTATGGGGGTGTGACGTGGGAGGTGGATAGCTACATCTATGGCAACTTATCTATATCCTTATTCTTTATATCTATCATTAGTGTAATGTATAGTCAATATTTGTGTAGTGTCGTAAAAAATTTACTGATTCGTGCGTTTATTTTGGTCACGAGTGTAAGGGTAAATACTTTGTGTGGACCATGCGATAACATTGTTGTCTCAGGTAACAATGTATAGTCTGTGAAAACGATATATATAACAATTTCAATTTGTTACCATTAAGTGAAGGTTGTGTGTGTGTAGGGCAAAAACCGCTTAAACTATTGACCATTCATGATGTGTGCAGCATCATTGCGCAATCTGGGAGTGATGTGTGCATTCTCACAAAGATATGTTGCGTATGATTGCGTGTGCGTGTGTTGTGAAGATACACCCGGTATCGAACGTGGTGATTGGTTGTATATCCGTTGTGTTTGCAACTGTGTTGTGTGTGTGTGTGCTGTATGCTGTGCATAATGTCAACCATGTGTTTGTGGATGTGTTGTAAATCACACTTTATAGAACATGGAGATTAACAATATTAAAAAAAAATAACCAATCAATATCTTTTACTCTACCTAGCTTGTCCTTCCATAGGCACGATAAAGAATAACTCAAATAACACGTAGATAAACCAGGACCAAGAAACACAACAAGACGCAATGAGTCAACAGATTACACCAAACACGCAAATTCACACAACGAACGACGTGACGTAAAATATGGAACATATAGAAAACATAAGCTTCTAAAAGGTACATGATACAAATGGTTTATATAAAAAGGAATGTATTTTGTATAGACACAGCTGTTTTGTCTGTCTATCTCTATTCCTATTCTTTATTTGCTCTCNGGAAGGGAGGGGTGTGTGTGAAGGGGAGTGGAGGGGGAGAGGGGAGGGGGGCGTGGCTAGACTGGGGTAAACACAGGAGGAGAATATTTATTTATATATAAGAAAAGGGAGGAGGATCATAACGATAATAACGAGAGATAAAGATGTTGGTCATGGTTGGTATGCATGGAAAAAAAATGCTATAGTTTTTTTTTTTTTTTTTTTTTTTTTTTTGAAAGGGATAAACAATATGTTTTATCACTGTACATCTGTTCGTTAAAGATTCAAATATTCCAGTCAATCAAATGTTATAAGAAAACGTTATAAGATGTTATGTTATAATAAAATAATAAATCAATTGTTTTAATCAAACGTTATAATGATAGTAATAATAATAATCTGATGATCATCATATCAAGAGCAGTGAAGGTGATAATGTTATCAATAAAATTTAAAATCAGTCATTAGCAATATTTATGATATCTTTATGATATCTAAAATCATTAAACAGTTCCGCAATTATTGTACACACACACACACACACACACACACACAGACACACATATATATATATATATATATGTATATATATATATATATATGTGTGTCTGTGTGTGTGTGTGTGTGTGCGTGTGTGTATGTGTGTGTGTGTGTGTACAATAATTGCGGAACTGTTTTCGTATAACTTCGTATAATGTATGCTATACGAAGTTATTACGAACATATATGTATATCTACATATAAACACACTTATTTATATATAGATACATATACATTTGCGTGTGTATGTGTGTGTGTATATATATATATATATATATATATGCACATATGTATGCATGTATGTACATATGTATGTAACATATATGTATATCTACATATAAACAAACTTATTTATATATAGATACATATACATTTGCGTGTGTATGTGTGTGTGTATATATATATATATATATATATATATATATATATATATATATATATATATATATCTGCGCGGTAATTTTACATATACTGTCTCCTAGCAAGTAGCTTATGACGTCACGACCAATCATGGTCACTCCCTCAGTACTTTGAATATTAATCTACAGTTTAAATTCTCTCAAATCATATCCCAACTACGTATTCACTAAATATCCATTCCTCGTAAATACCATCAGTTCATTATTATTACGTGAGCATTTTTTTTTTAAGAAGAAATACTTGATACGTTGCGCAGACACCGCCATCTATCGGCAAAATCGACAGTTATTTTGTCACAGTGCTCGGTGTCCGTTTCGAAAGTGAAATTTTGTTTGTAGTGTTCCTTGTGTTTTCCAATTCTTCCCGACCAATATGAAAACGAAATCTAGATGATAGTGTGCCGAACTTAGGGATAATATCGAAATTCAGTGAAGTAAATTAACCGTGTTTTCAGCTGAGGAATTTCGTCAGAGGTTCGAAACTTCCCACCCTGTCCTCCTCTTCGGCCATAAGGTAAATACGTTTTCTAACTTTAAATGTTCAGAATATTGTAATTGGGGAATATTTTAGGGTGAAAATACGGTGATGAGGAAGGGGCTAGGTGTATGCGACGACTGTGAGGGGAATGTGGTGTTTAGGATTTTTTCTGGTTCAAATGGCGATATTTGTGGTTGGTTGTGCGAATAAGACGGGGTTCATTGGTTCGTTCGGTAGTTCGTTCGCGCGATTCCGGGTCGAATCTTGTCTCGCGGTTTTCATTTATTCCCATTTTCTTTAACTTTTTGAAATGCCTGTTATTTTACCCACATGTGTTCTTATGTATGTTTGTACGTTTATTTGTGTATTTTCTTGGTTATTTATACTTTTATGTACACTTGTACACGTAGGCGTACGCACACTCGCACACGCACACGCACATNAAAGACAGATAGCATGTGGGAGTGGATGTCAGTTTGCGTGTGCACGACGTTTTTAATTATTTATGTGTTATGTGTGTTTTTTGTGCGTGGTGTGTGTATGTGTGTCTGGGAGGCGGATTTATGTGTGAGTGGCATGAAATGTTCATACTTTTGAAATTAAAGGATAATCACTTCATTATGAAACTTGCATTATCATCATTTTTTAAAAGCAGTTAAAATCGGTTCGCTGAAAGTAGCGGTATTAATTGAATAAAGAAACAAGTCAGTCACTCTAGTTAAGGGTAAAAAAAAAGCGAGAGGTTATTGAACAAGAGATTTTATGCTTCGCGGAGTTAGTGGCTTTCCTCACTCCATTTAAGGCGGGTCATCGCAAGCGCCGAAGGCAGGGGGTAGGAGGGGGGCGGCGGCAAAATATTTGCATGTCAAAGCCTGGCTATCCTGTTTTGATTAGAGGTTCTCGTCGCGGGTAAAGTTATATATATAAAGGTTACTCGACACAAAAAGCTGTGCTGCAGCTCAAGTGAAAGTCCAGAAGAAAGAGAGAGGAACTGGAAAAGGGTGAAAATGGATGATGATAATGATATTTAAAAAATTCTAGAAGACTGAGTTTGTGAGAAATCAAATGAGTAGGGTAAATTGAGTACTAAGAATAAAAAACAGGAAAGTTAGATGAAGATAACAAGGAAGTAATGAGGGCATCATGAGTAAAAGATGAAGAATAAGGGAGAGGGAAAGGAGCACCCGGATGTAGAAAGAACACTAAAGAATCAACATGTAGCACGAGGTGCACCAGTGACAGTGAAGATAGTAATAACATATAGGGTAAGGTGAGTGAAAGGGAAAGCTGTTGAAAGTGAGAGACATAATGCGTGAATGAGAGAGCGATAAATACCGGAATTAAGGGAAGTTGCCTAGGCGGGAGAATCTTAAAGGCTTTTATAAATATGCTGGAAACAAATATCCCGAATAGGTTCAGAATACAAATTCCATGTTAGGCTAAAAACACGAATTGTGCTGGCAGTTCGGTCAGAAGGGAAATTATGAGTATAACATTAAGGTTGAAGCTAAGATACCACATGAAAAAGTGAGTGTGAGAGTTAGAGTGCGGGGACACACTGTGGTCAGTAAGCGGTAAAGTATCACCCACATTTGCAACTGATCCTTCATTTCATCCTCAGCGATGGAGGCGAAGGGCGCCCGCGCACTGGGGGAGAGAAAGAAGGGACTAGTTTAGGTCCGTGAGATGAGCATCCTATGATGAAGTCGTCATTGGTGCTCTGGCAGTGCGAAGCGACTTTGCGCTGTGCTTCTCCACAGGCTAGCAGAGCACTTTGGAATGAACGGCTGAAATACCAGGGGAAGGAAGGCCCTGTCTGTGCGGTGAACGCGGTCTGGATTATCTTGCCTTCTTTCTTTTGTTAATTTTATGAAACAGTCACTAGATTTCTGACCTTCCAGCGTAAACACCGCCTGCAAATAAGCGACGTAACGCATCTTCTCCATTATAAGAGTTCCTGTGCAAAGGATTTTATGGCCAATTCATGGCAAAGGGCGAGTCATTGGCAAGGTTACAGAAATGTTCCAGAGAGATAATTTAGCCACGGGGAATAACCAGTCACCAGTCACGATGCCATTACATCCCTTTTCCTATTCATCTAGACTAGGATAAAAACATAATATATATACATATATAAATATTTACGACTTCGCCTTGTCAGAGGAGCTTTGCCTGTTTTCATTGGTTAAAGGGGTGTGTAATAACAAGAAAAATATCAACATTTAAGTTTTACGTGTATTAATACTTAATATCAATAATTCACTTAAAGATTTTCGTAATTTCATTAAAAAATCTTTCACCATACAGCGAGCAATTTCCTTATGGCAAAGACGTCAGCTTGATACGAAATGTCTGCATACAATATTTATGGCAATTTTCATCAT